GAGCTGGGGTGAAAGATTAATATTGAATAACCAATCAATATGGCTAGAACCGAGGTCAAGAACAACATAGATTGTGGCAGTTAGAATATGACCATTATTAGACCCAGTATAACACATGTGCCTTCCTTTTGTGGCCTGCCTAACAAGAACAAGAGAATGTTGGAAAATCTAAGGCTATACAAAGATCAGTCTGTACAGTAAATTTGAGAGCAATTAAGTATTTTCCGACCTTAGCACTATCAGAATATATCCTGCTTAGGTTATATTTCAAAAGTTAAGATCAAATAAAATCATATTTATTTATGGAAGAAGCATTTTGAAGCAGGGGAGTGGATCAATTAAATGTACTTCAGTCTCATCAGCAATGCTGATGTGAAGCGTTGGCAGCTCAACTCGTCAGCTTCACACACAATCTCTTCTACACGCTAACGAAAAGGCAGGGTTAACGAAAAGGCTATGGAAGTGGAGTTAACATTGTAACCACTTGAAACAATCATGACAAATTTTAACTGACAACATGAATAAATAGCAGAGGAAAGATTAAAATTTTCATCCAACTTTAAGACGTGATGAAAAAAACTCTCATGAAAATCAAACGAAGAAGGCGGCTTGAAATGGACTGTAGGTCGGAAAAACATCAGGACGAACTCCATAATTCGGAAAAGGTGTTCGGTCGAACATCGCTTAACCGGTTATAAAGCACTGATGTAACCTGATAAAAACGAGAATATTAATAGAGAAATCTAGTAAAAACATGAAACTGCTGGGATTACAGTCACAATAATTAGGTCACAGGCTCTTCGCAAGCAAGCTATCGTGCATCCAAACGGTTTATAAGCTGCTAACTATAAAATTTTACACTCCTGCTCTCCAATGTAGATAAATATATATATATATATATTATTGTCAAACTCTCAAAGCAATACTACTCTAATTATTGTTTTATAAATATGTGTTGTTGAAGATTTAAATAAACTCTGGCAGAAATCTAATAATTTACACATAACAATTGTATATGCAACGATATAATATAACGAATGCAGATTACACATGAAGTTTCAGAATGCTTGAGATATAAATAATTTTCCTTTTTCAATCCTTAAACAAAATATATTTTCATATACATACATATATGAAGGCAAGAAGCCTTAAAAAGATAAGAAAATAGAAGAAAGAGATTTCTCAGAGTTGTGCTGTTATGCTATACCCTCAGACGTGAACGCTTAAAGCAAATATTTACTATCTATTTTTCTGCTTAAAATACACATACGAGTTTGTATATATTGTACTATGTATATAGAAGTTAAACAACAACGTTCACGTTATGCGTTCTTAACTTTCCTACAAATTCACTTGGGCTTGACATAGTACAGTGGCTATGGAAAACAGACACATAGGATACGCAGATAATAGGCATAATGAAGAATACGCCAGGGAGAGATTAGTAAAAGTAAACAAGCAACAACACCAACATCATGATCAAGAGGAGGCATGAAAAAGTATGGAAATAAGGAAAATGCGCAATTTTATTTGTCTATGTAAAAAGAAATGGGAGAGAAAAGAAGAAAGATTACTAAGCTAACTACCAACCAACCTACTAACAACTCACCGATAATAAAATAAAAACAACAAGTGTGATGTTGCTTAACGATTTGCTCGCCCCTGCAAACGCCCACAATCGTATGTATCTATGTATGTATGCCAAATACATTCAACAACAACAACCGCTTGGCCATCTCAAGCAGAACCACGTGGCCCGCTTAAGAGTGCTTGCGGCGATATGGCAATAGAATTTTGATATTATTTACGATGCGCGTACGTTATTTGACCTTAGCGGCTTGGCATAAATTATCGATATTTTTAACGTGTTTCTATCCACGCACACACGCATTTATATGCATACAAACATACATGAATATTGTATAATTATATGGTACAGCAGACAGTCTCAGCTCCTTGAATATCCTGTGTGAACCTTTTTATTTTACTTCCCATTTCATTGAAAAAATGAAAAACCCACCAAACAACGTCGCACTGAATATCGAGCAAATTATGCTGATTTTATGTCGGGTAAGAAATTTAAAATTTATACGCCATTTATGTGTCTTCATAAATAAAATGTTAAAAGTAACAGTAGAAATGTACAACAACGAAAAGGAAACGAGCTAAGCCTGGCAAGGAGATGAAGAGGCGCGGTAGGTTATGACCAAAGGAACCTACTCCTTTTTGATTTCCTACCAAAAACGTAGCCTACTTTTAGGTGCACACATTTATTATTATATTTTATAGTGTTGGCCTAAGACTTTCTATCTATACCTTTTTCGACTAAGCTTTTATTATTTAAGTGCCTCGTATAGGCGTATTTTTCGGCTGTTATTTCACTTAATGCATTTTTGGTCGAACATAAATATAGACGAACATAAATTTAATGCGCACTTGTGTGCATACATACATACATATATATCTTTATATAGCCTAACAGCTTACATTTTGCAGAGCTCAATATTTTTAAAATACTTTCAGGTTAAATGTCGAAACGTTTATAGCATTCGGAATGAATTCAACATTCTTAAAGTTAACTTACATGCTTATTTAAAGATGTATAGGGTGCATCTCCCTAGGCGCACACCACAGAAATGGCGGTGAAACTCATACGAAATTCGCTCCAGCGGTTTCATAGCGCCAATTATTTACATTACATGTCATTGCGAACGATTGTACAAGTTTTCTTAGTAATATCGTATGAAAGAATCATATAAAATATGACAAAAAGTTGCCAGAATACAAATATAATAAAAGCATTTATGCATATTTTTTCTTGTGTAGAGTAGTGTAAAGAGTAGAGAGGTGTGAAACATTAAAATTATGTCAGTAGTATTAAATACTCGTATGTATGTATGAATATTTTACCAAACACCTAAGTCATGTAATTATAATATCACCATAAAATTATGAATTTCTACAATTATTATGCTAAAACTTTGCACCTTTGAATGTTGCTTACGACTGAGCTTAATCAAGAAAAATCAGATCAATATAAAAGCCTTTTAGTACAAAACACATATTTACTGGAAGCGTATTTCTCAGCTTATACTGCATAAAAGTTCAATTATTATTTTCAAGCGAGAGGCTTTACACTCACTCACCTAACAAGATTATGCGCTGGGTTTGGAACCCTCCATGTAGAAACCAGCTTCAATGAGATACCCCCCTTCTGTTGACGATCCTCGCAAATGAATTAAGATCACGATTTGAGCGAATGAACCAAAAGTATACGGTCCCTTAATTGGAAAGCTGCCGCTGCCAAGCTGGTTTATGTCCTCGCTAAACCAAGGGCTGATATTACCGTTGTCCAAGAAGTGCGAATGACGGAACAATGACGTAAGCGAGTAAGTTCTTATGACAGGCGCCCATGCCCCGACGGAGGAGAAGCACGTTTTGGCTACGCTGCCCCCGACACGATGACGACTTCAATGCAAGGCTGTGCAAAGAAGGTACCTTTGGTGCGACTGTCGGAAAATTCAGCCTCCACAAGGAATTATGCCCTAATAAGCTGTTCGACTTCATCGGGACTCGAAATATGGTTGTGTGTAGTACTAGGTTCCAGCATAAAAAAGTACATCTACCTAATCGGCTATCTTTCGATCGACAAACACAAAACCAGATCCGTCATGTTGTGATAGACGAAGAATATGTCTCTAGTGTTCGGGACATGCGTACACTTCGAGCACCCAACATCGTGTCGGGCCATTAGCTTGTTAAAGCGAAGCTACGCATGCGCCTTTGTGTGTCAAAGAACACCCATCAACAAATAAAATGAAAGTTCGACGCCGAAAAGCTGCAATCACCACAGACTGCCGAGCGGTTTTCTACTTCACTTTCACTCCTGCTCTTTTAGAGCACTCATCAGCAACTCGGTAAACGGAAACTGTGGGACGGGATTTCAAACTCTCTACATCTAGCTGCAAATATAGTTATTGGATCTCGGAAAGGTCGTAAAAACAGATGATGCGATGACGACTGCCGTGTCGCAATGCAGAGAAAGCAGGCTGCCTACCTCACAATGCTGCGACTACACGTGCGGAATGAGATAGATACCGAGAACTTAAGAGGGAAGTAAGGCACCTCTCAGCGTGTACATATCAGGTGTAGTTTATGGTCCGGCAGGGTCACTGTACTTTATTTTTTCGAAAATGAGTCTGCAACAACAGTTACGGTGAATTTTATAACCGAAATTGGATATTATTGATCTGGATGACGTTTACTTTCAACAAGACAGCATCACGGGCCAAATTAGTAACGAAACTCTAGAACTTTAAAAGGAAAAGTTGATCGCAATTAATCAACGAGATCTTGTGACTTAACACTTTGCGGCTTCTGCCTTTGGGTTCATTTGCAGGATAAGTTCTACGCCAGCCGACCAACGTTGATTCAAGACCACACAGATGGAATTCGTGGAGCTATTGAAGGCATATAATAGCCAACTTGCGACTTGATAAAGGAAAATTTAATAAGAAGGATACGGTCCTCTTAACGTAGTCGTAGCGTCCATTTGCCTGATATTGTTTCTGCATATTTGTGGCATATCTTCCGCTTTGCATTGAACTAAACAACCGATTATTTACCATAAATTAAAAATTACATTTGGCTTTGAATATCAAAGTAACATCTTTTATTGGTAAAGCTTGTACAGTAAACAGAATTCGAAATACACTTTCAACACGTTTAGGTTATCAAAAATATATTTTCTAAAATTTCTGCGTTTTGAGGGTTTTAATAAGTCTTTAAAATTAAGCATTGAAATAATAAAGTAAAAAATGTGACTTTATCAAAATTTACCAATTTCTCCTGCTGCAAGTGAGATCCTTGAACAGATATCAGAAAGCTAAAAATGCTTCAAGCATAACTCCTTTGCCCAATACCATTTACTCAAAGATTGCCTTTTCCTATAAAAAAATTCTCCAAAAAAAAAAATAAACCCTATTTCGTTATGTACTCACCTGGCTCCAGCGTCGTCGCCAGTAATATCGATGGCAGGCAAAGTAGTATTATCCGAATTTCGAGCATGTGCATTGGCATTAATATCGGCAACATTTGTGTATTTGAAATCCTTGAAACTTTGGCGCAGTTACAACAGCGCCAAACACCAACACCTCAGCGCACGAATACAGACTATCCGTTTGAGTTGTGTGTGAGTGTGTGAGTGTGTATAAGTGTGTGAAAGATATTTCACAGTTGCGGGAGTAGCAATAGTTTTGTGTCAACTTCTTCGTCTTCTACTCCTTTGACACGCTCACTCATTAGGACTAATGTGTTTTTGAACTGAGTTCACGGCGAGCACAACGGTATGTAGTGTAATGCTTTAAGCATAAATCTTGCATTGCTTATATGTAGTGCTTTCATATAAAATGTTTACATACGTGTATGTATGTGCGTATGTGAGAAATATGCGGGAGCCAAAAAACGATCTACTCGCTAGGCGCTTTGATAAATGTTACAATTGCTGTTGGCTCTGTGCTTTCTCTGCTTGCTATCTAGCATTAAATGGTTGGCGTCTATACGTATGTACGTATGTTATGTTTATTTGTATATTGTTTGTTGTTACAATAATGTCTTCTGCTTATTGTACAGATTTGCCTTGTGCAGCGCAAAGCAATGTCTTTTTCGTTATGTACTTTGTCTACCTTTGATATACGCGAGCTTTCAGCGTTTTTCTATATTCGCACTGTATATGCTTTTCTGTTGTTGCGCGCTATATTTTTTGGCAGTTTTGTATGTATGACGCCGCGCTTGTCTTGTTTTTGCCCCTTCTACGTTTTTGTGTTATTCTGTTACACTTATTACATTAGCATTTTTTCACTTTGCTTTTTTTGTCCTTTTCACATTTCTCTTTCTATTGCTTGTTTTTCTATCTGTTGCTTTATTATCTCTTCGCCTTTGCTTATTGTAATTTTTTATTCTGTCTTACTCTTCTTTTTATTTGACCTAATAATGTGCTGTTATTGCATCGTTATGTGTGACGTGTATGTCCTTGTGCTCGTATGCAATATCCTGGAATTTGTGTTTTTCACCATAATTTCATATAAACATCATTTTTCATGCTGAAATCGCACTGGTTTTTTTCCACATGCGAAGCACTTCAGCTGCTGCTTCCTTTGTTGTTCTTTCGCTTGGCTTTCATCTCACAATAATTTGTTCGCTTGTGATTATGTACACGCTCGGCGCTCGGTGCTCGGTGCTTTGCCCACGTCTCTTACTTGCAACTTTGTGGCATTAATATCATTTGTAGCGAGCGCAAGTACTTTTAGTTAGTTTTTATTTGCATTGTATTGAATATTTTCTAGTCTTGTAATAATCTTATTTGTATTTCTCCAGTTTAATGTTTTTTCTGCTTCTTCTTCTTCTTTCTGCCTTGCTTATCCGCCGGATTTGATAAATGAGTTTGTTATGCAATTTTTTATATATATTTATATGTATGTATGTATTCTTTTGTGAGCTGCCGAATCGTTCGTTGAGATTTTTTGTTGCCACTCTATCACACACATTTGCACATATACACATACATATATATATATATATGTGTATGCATTGAACAATTTATTTTCCCATTCGAAATAATCAGTTGCAATTGTCATGTGATTTCTGTAAGGGAGAGATAGAGAGGAAAAAAGTAATGTAAAGGTAAGTTGTAAGAACAGCACAAATTGAATATAATAAATTGTATATGTCTTTTGCTCTTAATGATGTTGGAAGTGTTTGCTAAAGCAAATTTTATTATCGTGTAATTTATGGATTTGCTGTGACAAGGCACACCCACGTCGGTAAACACCTCATGCTGTGTAGTTTTTTTTTTGTTTACATTACAAATGCTTTATTTGCATAACTAACAGACAACGTATTTTCATGTAAAAAATTTCTATTGCAAAAGTATTAACAGCAAGACATGGAATGATTTATTCTCAAGGCGTTCAGGCGGAAATTTATGAAAATTCTTAAATATTCATCGAGCTTTTCTCATACAGAATAGGAAAAGGAATATAACTCAACAATCCTTCTTATGCAGCAAGAAATTTATCGAGCTCCTTTTCGGTGAAAAGTAGTAAAACGAGATCAATCAGAATTACTTGAGTATAGCAAATAAAGGGGGCAAATAGTAATCGCAAAACTGTCCATAACTCGAAAAACTAAAAACCAAATCGATCATGTCGTGGTAGACGAAAGACATGCTCGTGACATGCGCACACTTCGAGGACCCAACATCATCTCGGATCACTATAATGCCACAGCGAAGACACGCACCCACCTCTGTGTGTCAAAGCTCGACGTCGAAAAGCTGCAATCACCACAGATTGCCGTCCGGTTGTCCGAATGGGAAGAAGTTCGAATAATTGTTGCCTGCTTGATAAATAAAAAAGCGGCGGGAACAGAGGGATTGACAACGGAGCTACTCAAATACTTTGAATATGACGGTGAAAACCTCATTAGATGTATACATTTGCAAAATAAAGTTGGTTTACTCTGTATAGTCCATAAACAAGGAGAACCCACATTCTGTGCTAATCACGGTGGGAGAAGCCTTCTAAATGTTGCTTATAAGGATCTATCTATCATATTATGTGAAAGACTGAAGAACACCGTCAACAAACAGATTACACCTTATACATTGAACCCTAGAAAACACTTGTGAAAGGAGACTAAACATACACCATCTCTTTGTCGATAGCCGCCTTCGACAGCACGAAAGGAGCTACATTTACGCCAACATTTCTGAATTTGGTAAAACGTTGGAGAGAACCAGAAGCACAGTCGGAATAAGATGGGACCACTGCCAGCCCTGCGATACCAAACGATGTCTTAGAAAAGCAGGCTCTTTATCGTGTGATTTCTTCAATTTGATGATGAGTAAAATAGTAAGAGCTGTAGACCTAAATAGAGAAGGTACAATCTTTTACAAGGGGGTACAGCTGCCGATGATATTGTCATCATTGGCCTCAACACCCGCGCCGTGAGTTCTGCATTCTCCTGACCTGGGAAGCAAGCAAGTACACGAGCGCAAGACGAAAATACGCCGACATCAAAGAGGCAGTCATCGCATTCGCGTCTCGGCTCCCACGTCACTGTGATAACTTCGAGGTCGTAGATAATTTCGTCTATCAAGAGACCGGTAGTAATACCAATAATAATGTCAGTCGTGAAATCCAATGCATAACCAAACTCCCAGCAAGTGCTATTTTGGACTGAGGAGCCAATCGAAACCAACCTCTGCAAGTCGCTCATCACAAACATCCTACTATATGGCGCAGGGGCGTGGATAATGTCGAAATTTGATGAGTCGGCTTTGTGAGTCTTCGAGAGGCAATGGCGAATACCGCAGACGATGCGATATGAGTTATATGATAATATTGGCATAGTACAGCGAATAAAGAGACAGCGCTACGCTGGCTAAGTCAGGTCGTCCGAGTGTATGAAAGCACTCCAACTTTGAAAGCATTCGATGCAGTAGATACTAGTGGAAGCAGAGGAAGTGGGAGATCTCCAATCCGATAGAAGGTTCAGATAGAGAGCGACCTGTCTTCACTTGGTATTTCCAATCGACGCTAAACAGCGAAAAGAAAAGATGAATGGCGCGCTAACATTGATTCGGCTATTCAGAAAGAATAAGCGTGAACACAAATCGCCGTAAAGAATTTGGTAGGGATGCTTTTATTATTGGAGACTAAAGTCTTATCACTTGAACTACCTTCAATAAAGCAGATCTTCAGTTATTTGTGTTATTAGTAAACATCAGCCGAGTATCTATTATTCGGTTTCACCTTAACTTCTGCTTACCACCTTTTTTGAATTCATTTTCACTACAAAGAACTACTGCTCTATTCAATTCTAAAATATTTATGTGTTAGTTAATTGAAGTGTCGAATTAGGCTAAGCAGTCATTCGTCCATTTATTTGTAAATTATTTGCAACAAATCTTCGTGAGTAAAAATTCCTTTCCCAAATTGAGTGTATGTATTAATATTATATGTTTACAGACCTACATATGTATATACCAGCAAATTTGGTATTTACTTGTTCACTAGCATGTCTGTAAATACTTAATTTGCATTATTCATGAACCACAATGTGATTTTTCATATTTAATGAATTGCCGTATAATAATAAGTTATTCCAAGCACGCACTTTGCACCACATCCCCCGCAATTTTTTATTCAAACCCAGAAGGACTTCTTGCATTCGCACTCAGAACCATTAAATTTGACATTCTATTGCGTTGTAGTTGGTTACATCCTTCTAAATACAACAACTGTAAATATTGGTAGACCAACAGCGGCACCGCATAATAATAATAATAACAGCAACACCACCAACAACAAGAGCTGTAACATTAGCATCAACGGTCACTTCCGGCATTGTCAACGCAATTTATTCATTTTTATAAATTTCCGTAATAAAAATGAAAATGTTTATAAATTTTTTCCATTTCACTTTTTACCCATATTTATTTGTTTCCTACAGTCTTCCGCCAACAACGCAGCACAAGTATATCCTATTTGATGTTGATTTTGTTTTTGCTCTTTTCTTCAAAGCGCTTGTGAGCATTTCACTTCCGTTGTGGGATTTCTGTATCACATCCGCGCTTTGGCCCTTGGCGTCTGTATAATGGACGGACAGCTGCTGGTTAAGCGGAGCCAAAAGCCACTGGGTGGGTCTGCTACTGCTGCTTCTGCTGCTGTTGCGTTCAGTGCGTATTATGGCGAGCCAGACAACCAGCCAGTTACAGCATTTATGGTGATTGCTTGGCGCTCGCATTGCGGTAACATATTTGGATCGTCAGCCAGCCAGCTAGAACTAGAGAATATCTTGCGGCCCACGCAAAGTCCCAGAACATGAATTTATTTCACTGACTGACCGACCGAACGTCGGCTGGGCGAGACAAGAAAACATTTTTTGGAAAAACCAGCAATAGAAGCGGTGGCGCTTTACCGCATGCATTGTTAGTTGGTCAACATTTTGCAAATATTCCACCAATTTACATAGCTTCTGCTGCGTTTGACATAACGTTTGTGTACCACTTCTCAGGAAGAGTTGTTATACCCAGTGCATGTGTGCAAAAGTTTTCTTATTTGAACTTGTTAGCTAGGTTTTGTGATAAGGTTAAGGTGAAGTTACGATTAAAGTAAACTTTAAGCTTAATTTTAAGGTAAAATTTAAATTTTAGGATACTCTTAAAGTGAAAGCAAAGTTAATAAAAAGTTAAGATTAGAGCAAGAGTCTTTGGGCAATGCATAAAATGCAAGAGTTAAAGTTATAGCTATGGTTATGGCTACGGTTATGGTAACTATTATGGTTAAAGTTATGTTTAATGTTTTGGTTAAGGTAAAGGTTATGGTAAAGGTGAAGGTTCTGGTTATGGATATGGTTGTGGTTATGGTTAAGGTTGTGGTTGTGTTCATGGTTATGGTTATGGTTAAATTAAACTTTAATGTTTTGGTTAATGTTCATGTTATCTTTAGTGTTTTGATTAAGGTTATGCTTATGGTTATGGTTACGGTTAAGGTTGGGATCACTCCTTTGGTTCAGGTTATGGTTAAGATTAAGATAACGGCTAACGTTAAGGATAAGGTTGAGTTAATTGTTAATATAAAAATTAGGGTTAAGGTTATAGTTAAGAGTAAGAAGACGTTTACAATGAGAGGTTGCGCTAGAGTTATAATATAGGTTAGAATAAAGGTTCAGCAAATTAAAATATCTACATATTATGTTGAAAAACTTATACTTCAATCAAATGTAAAGAAAAAATACCTAGCCAATACAATGCACTGGGTATTAACAGCTTTGCATCGCGTTCAAACTAAAATATCTCAACCAGTTTTCACTCGCCTTTTCCTGTTCACTTTTTTCCTCAGCTATCTTGCGGGTGAGTTATGTTGCTATGCTGTCAGCGGAGAGTTGACTTGAATTTATGACACGACATAAGGATATGCAAGAATTATTTGCATGTGTTTATGTGCGTTCATTCATTCCTTCATTCATACACTAAAATGTCAGTCGGTTAGATATGCAAAGGCATTTACAAATGTTTAATGGCGGCTATATTTTTGAGAGTATGTAAAAATTAATTTGATATATTGTCCATATGTACATGAAGTACACTTATAGATGTAGCTAAGCGTAAATATATTAAATATGCCAAAATATATTCGAAGGTGAAATTTCTAGTAAAATTACAATAATAATACCGTATTTTTATCAAAGAAAAATTTTTAAGCATTTCCAGTAGCTCGCCAACAATTAATGTCTAAAGCACATGGCAAAAAAAATATTTTCGATTTTTGGAAAATTTTCGTATTTTATTTGCACTATTTACAGAAGAAGCAATAAATAAGGCTTATTAAAAAATGTCATCAATATAATTTATGTATATCTTTCTTCAGCAAAAATCTGGTATTGGTCTGGTAAAAAGTAGTCCTTAGGTTTTACAATAAATTGAAAACTTTATTTGCCACAATTATTATTATTCGCTTTATGTCAAATGCATGCCTTTTTCTTAGTAAAATTTTTGTCTTTAACTCTCTTTCATAGAAACCCATGTTCCCATTGGCAAGAAATTGGAACAATTAATATTACCGGGCTTCTTTTGCGGC